CACTTGAGCCACAGTGCCACTTCCGGCTTTTTTTCTTTTTGCTTATGTGGTGCTGAGGAATTGAACCCAGGGCCTCATGCATGCAAGGCAAACACTCTACCACTGAGCCAACTTCCCAGCCCCTCTTTCTTGTTTTATTTTTTTAGGGCTGGTCCTAGGGCATGAACTCAGGGCCTGAGCACTGTCCCTAAGTTTTTGGCTCAAGGCAGGTAGTGTTCTACCACTTGAGCCACAGCTCTACTTCTGGCTTTTATTTTTGGTAGTTAACTGTGTCATAAACTTTCCTGCCTGGGCTGGCTTTGAACTGTGGTCCTTAGACCTCAGCCTCCTGAGTAGCTAGGGTGATAGGCATGGTACTCAGCTTTGTCTAGTATTTCTTACAGTGGAAGTTTAAGTTCCAAGAAGCTGACATGGTGAGATTTTAATATACTCAGAACTTCTTTCCTTATATCAGAATTTCAAAACTACCTGGTTCATTTATCTGTTACCATGTGTGAAATTCCATCCCAAGAACCATTCCAATGAATTAGAGTGGATGGTTTTGATACCCATGGCCAGTCTTCAGGGTGGAAAAATGTAACACTCAGTTTCAAGCTCTTAGAAGATGGCTTTGGGCTGGTCACATTAAAGGGGGATAAAGTGTGGATCGGAGTCGTTGGCAGTGCCCTGCACAACGTTTAGGCACTTTAGGACAAGTGTCCTGGAATTTAGAGTTGTGTGAGGTCACAGGGAAAGCGTTGTTATTGTTTGATACAGGGCCTCTCTCTGCAGTTCAGACTGGCCTGAACTTCTTAGGCTCTTGCCTCAGCCTTCTGAGTTCTGGAATTACAGGCATGGGTCATCATGCCCTGCTGAAAAGCGTTTTTGAGGAGGTTTAAAGCCTACTTCAAGAATAGTGAACTATGGCCTGGATGATCAATCGTGTCACCAGCACAATTTGGTAGAAGGCGACGGAGTCCTTTTTCTTGATCTCTCAGGAGGAAACTTTGAATGGAAGTGTTAGCTCATTTGGACCTAAGTCCTAACTAGCCAGATTGGCCCCTCGGCTTGAGCATGGCCTGGCCCTGGCAGTGGTACCTAGTCATAGAGCAAGGTCTGGGAGAACACGGACCATACTGTTCTCTCTCCCTTCCACCATCATGATCTCCATCATCATCACCACCATAATTTCCTCTTTCCTTCATCCTACAACTGTCACCATCGCTACACCATCGCCTTCACGACCACCACTGTTACTACCTTCTCTATCACTGTCACTCTCATTACCACCTGTGCTAGTCAGCTTTCTGTTGTTGTAACAAAATACCTGAGATAATGAACTGAAAAGGAGGAAAGGTTTGTTTTGGTTTATGGTTGACTGGACCCCACTGCTTGGGGCCTGTAGCAATGTAGAACATTACATGTGGTGGAGGAAGTGAGTTCATTGCATCATAGCCAGGAAGAAAAGGGAGGGTGCTGGTGTAGGGCTTGGACCCCTAGATTCTCTTGCAAGGTATGTTATCAATTATCTAACTTCCTTCCACGAGGCCCCACTTCCTAAGGCTTCTGCTACCTCCCATTAGCACTCCAGGCTGGCAATAAAGTCTTTAACCCATGGCCTTTGTGAGGACATGCAGGATCCAAACCGTAACATTCTGTTTCTGGTCCCTTAAAGCTCATCTCCATCTCACAAGGTGACGTGCATTTAATTTCTCCCTGGATCAAGAATCCAAGTCTAAAATCTCCGAGACTCAAGGCAAATGCTTATCTGTGAGCCTCTGTAAAAATCAAAATCAAGTCACGTGCTTCCAAGATATAACAGCACAGGACAAACTTTCTCATTCCAAGAATAAGGACTAGAAAGCAAGGATGGACCAAAAGCAAGGTGGAAATCTATCAGGGAAAACACTGGATCCTGTAGCTCTATGTCCTGTATCTGGGCACTAGGAGATGTGACAGGAGCTCAAAAGGGCCTGGGTAGCTGTGTCTTATAGCCTACATGGCCTCTTTCTTGGACTGGTTCTGCTCACTCCCTGTGGCTTTCTTCATTAGGCTTTCTATGTTCCTGGCATCTTTAACTTCCTGGGGTCCCCAATATAGCACCAGCCTCACAGCTTTCTATCCTTACCCTGTGAGGGACTGACAGCAATTCCTAGATGATAGACTGGGTGCTGAGCTGCCTGGAACTTTCTTTGCCAGAGAAAACCTTAAACCCAGCCTCTTACAATGTCTGAGGGCACGAACCAAATGTAGACAAGTTCTTTGCTAGAAGGTAGCTTTGAGTCCAGTTCCCTGTAGATCCTCCTCTTCACCTGAAACTGCATGAGGCAGTGTGTGTTGACTCTCTTCTTTCTTACCGGCATCCTGGCCTTTTGAGTCCCCACCAGAATCACCCATCAATCCCCACACGGCATGCTAAGCCTTTTCCAGCCCATGTCTTCAAACATTTCCAATTTCTTCATGTGAACAAACCTTCCCACTACTCAGAACCAATGATCTGTGTTAGTTTTCCCTTGCAATGGCAAAATACCCGAGGTAATCGACAGACAAGAAGGAAGGATTTATTTTAGCTCACAGTTTTAGAGGTTTTTAGTTAATGATGGATTAGCCCCATGGTCTGGGCCTGGGGAAGGCAGAATGTCACGGTGGCATGTGTGTGGTAGAGCAAAGTGGTTCACCTCATGTTATCAGTAAGCAGGTGCATAACTGGGACTTCTTTCCAGGAGGCCTCATGTCCTAAGAGCCCTACCATTCTTCACCACTCCACAGGCTCCACAAAGCCTTTCACACATAGGGACACTTAAACCTAAACTGTAACACTCTGTCACTCTCTTCTTTACTATCACGGCCACATCATCATTACCACCATTATCACCGCCCTTCCCATCACCATTACCACCATCTACTCTTTTCCTCCCTTTACTATCACTATCCACACCATCATCACCATGCTTATCATCACCTCTCCTGGCTTTCTCTTCCCCGTCGCCACCACCTTCACCTCTACCCCCATCCTCATCTGCCTCAGTTTCCCCTTCACCACTACCACCACCACCATCAACACTCTCACTTTTCCCTTCCCTTCACCATCGCCCTTACCACCCTGATTATTCCCTCCCTCACCTCCTTCCCCTCCCCCATCACTCCCATTGTCACCATCTCCACCCCATCATCACCATCACGCCCTTCACATTTCCCTTTTCTCCCATCACTGGTCATTGTCACCAGCGACACCCCCACGCCTCCACCATGCCTGCCATCTCCACCACCTCCTCCTCTTCCGCCATCACCCCTGCCTCTCGGAGCACTCATCTCCACCCCTGCCCCCCTCCCCTGGTCTATCACCGTCAGCGGTCCATGGCCTCCCCTCCTGGGGTCCAAACCTTACCTTGCCCACGTGGTGGGGCAGTGAGGAGTTCTTCTCTTCTTCGATGTGCATCTGATTCCAAATCCAGTCTCTCTTCTGGCGCCGATGGGCGGGCGGCAAGCTGAGGCCATCCCCATGGGGAGGGTTTGGGTCTGCCATGGCTGCTGCCACCAGCAGGCCCAGGTAGGTACTCAAAGTAGCCACCAGCATGGTGGACCTCGGGGTCCTCCTAGGAGGCACAGATCTGAGAATGAGGAGAGACTAATCAGGGCATGGTGACCACTGCCCTCAGGGTGAGCTGCTCCCCAGGAGGATGGAACACTCTTCATCTGTCCCTTCCTCCACTGTTATCCTGCTGACACCCCATTCCTGACCCAGTGAGCCCCCTCCACACCCTGGTCTAGGGCAGGGAGGCAGGCCATAGATGGTTCACATTACATAAAAGTGGGCTGGGGTGGGAGCCAGTACACAGAGGCCAGAGCCCCAGGAAGTGGGGTGTGTAGAAGAGGGGGCAGTGCCAGTGCTGATGGCCTCTCACTGAGTACCCTGCAGGGAGCAGCCTGGTTACTGACATCTTTACAGATGGGGAAACTGAGACCCTGAAGGGTTCAGTCCAGCCTAGAGTTAAGTGTGTATGTGTGGGGTGGGGTGGGGTGGAGAATGGAACCAACCCAGCGTCTGACTCAACTGCTAACCCCCTGGAGGACTTCCTAATTTTCTGACTCTATCTATCTATCTATCTATCTATCTATCTATCTATCTATCTATCTATCTATCTATCTGTCTGTCTCTGTCTCTCTGTCTCTCTCTGTCTCTGTCTCTGCCTCTCTCTGTCTCTGCCTCTCTCTCTCTCTCTCTCTGTCTCTCTCTCTCTCATCATTCAGTCTTTCAAGGAGCCCTCAAGGTGGATGCTGCAACCACAGCTCTGGTGTACAAATGGGCTGAGAAAGGGAGTCTCAGCCACATTCCTGAGGTTCCTGATAGTCAGGAGCAGAGGAAAGACTTGAACTAAGTCTGTTCTGAATCAAATGTTCTTTCTGACTGCCTTCCCTGGTCCCAGTGGCTGCTAGGATAAGATATTAAGGCTCCTTTAAGTTCATAGAAGGCTCCCCCCTTTCCCAGTTGGCTCGAACACCTCTTTGCAGTTTTTGGGCCCTGCAGTCTTCAGGAAGAACACCCCCACAATATCTTAACCCAGTGGATGGGGTCCATAAGAAGGGGTGAAAAGCTGGGTTCATAAGACGGGCTTCCTAATTTCTAATGCAAATGTAGAAATGAGCTAGCCATCATTTGCATGCTAGGCAAGGGCTATATGACTGAGCTACAGCACCCTCAAACCTTCTCAAGCCTCCAAGAGAATATTAAACCAAGCCTGGGGCCCTATGGAAGTGCTGGCAATGTGCCCACACAGGTTTCACACTCTCAAAGGCAACTAACGCTAGAGATTAGTAACATGGATTGCCCATAGATTGAAGTCTGGTTTCATCTCTGAACCCCAGGAACAAGGATTTCCTTGTCCACACCAGGCCTCCTCAGGCCTTGTCCCATCTGTGCGCCCCCCCCCCCACTGCCCCGTCCTCATGTTACTGACCTGCAGCTTCTCGAAAGGTACAAGGGATGGAGTGGGAAGCAGTGATGGACTGGAGAGACTCACAAGGTTTCCTGGAGACTGGGAGGGAGTGGCCACCTCCCCCTTCTGTCCCTTGCCCCACCCAAGGGAGGGCTGGCCTGTGTACATCACAGGAAATTTCTAAACTCTAGTAACATTTCCTCTGGTGCCCTGGCGCCAGGGTGTTCGGGGCGAGGGGGACCAGCTAACCTCGGAGTCTGCTGACTTTAGCAGTCAGTGCTCCTGCCCTTGGGCTCTGTCTTAGACTCTGAAGGAAGTGGCCTTCTCAAGTCTAGAAACAAGTCTGGATGGGCCCAGAAGGCAGGTGTAGGTTGTCTGCCCCAGGCCCCTACTTCCTCAGCCTTTGACCAGAGAAGGTCCCAATGGAAGAAATCTGGGGGCCCTTGGAATGGGGGGGGCGGCGCTCCAGGCAGGAGGAAGGAGAGAACAAAAGAAAAAGGAGGGAGGGGGAGGCTGGAAGTCCTGGCCAGGAAGTCTGTCCTGACTCAGGGAGGCGTCTGGAGTCACCCCTGACCCCACCTGGCCAGCTACAGGCACAGTGGCTCATTTCCTTCTTTTCCTTCTTGGCTCAGAGAGAAATCACAGGTTTTGGGTCTTTGGATCTCCCTCCAGTGAGAGACAAGTGGGAAAGGGGAAAGCAGAACAAGTGGAAGGGAAATGGAGAAGCAGCGAGGAGGGCGGAGCTCTCAGGTCTGGCGTCTGGCTAGGATCTGGTGAGAGCTGCGCTGAGGCTTGCAGTATAGCTATGTCTGGGCTCCACTGGGGTGCAGCGGGGGTGGGGAGGTGGGGGGGAGAGAGACAGACAGAGACAGAGAGACAGAGACAGAGACAGAGAGACAGAGAGAGACAGGGACATGGAGGGAGAGGGAGAGGGAGAGAGACAGAGAGACAGACAGAGAGAGACAGAGACACAGAGACAGAGAGGGGGAGAGAGACAGAGAGACAGAGACAGAGAGACAGACAGAGAGAGACAGAGAGAGACAGAGGGAGACAGAGGGAGAGGTAGGGAGAGGGAGAGGGAGAGGGAGAGAGACAGACAGAGACAGAGAGACAGAGACAGAGAGAGATAGACAGACAAACAGAGACAGAGAGACAGAGACAGAGAGACAGAGACAGAGAGACAGAGAGAGACAGAGGGAGAGGGAGGAGAGGGAGACAGACAGAGACAGAGAGACAGAGAGAGAGACAGACAGACAGAGACAGAGAGACAGAGAGAGACAGAGGGAGACAGAGGGAGAGGGAGAGGGAGAGAGACAGACAGAGACAGAGAGACAGAGAGAGACAGAGAGACAGAGACAGAGAGAGACAGAGGGAGAGGGAGGAGAGGGAGACAGACAGAGACAGAGACAGAGAGAGAGAGACAGACAGAGACAGAGAGACAGGGAGAGACATACACACAGACAGAGACAGAGAGAGGGAGAGAGACAGAGAGAGAGGGAGAGAGACAGAGACAGAGAGGCAGAGCAGAGAGGCAGAGACAAAGAGGAAGGGGGGACAGAGAGAGAGGGACAGAGAAAGACAAAGACAAGATAGACAGAGAAAGGCAGAGAGCCAGAGCCAGAGAGAGAGGCAGAGAGGGAGAGACAAACAGACAAGGACTGAGAGACCGAGAAGGAGGGAGAGGTGAAGAACTGCCCTGGAGCAGTGTGTGCAGCTCACCTGCGGGAAATTAGCACCCTAAACAAGTGGGAATTAAACGAGCCACAGCAGCTGAGTGCTGCCTATAATCCCAGCTACTTAGGAGGCTGAGACTTGAGGACTCTTATCTCCAATGAACTACTAAAACAACAACAACAACAACAACAACAGATCTGGAAATGTTGCTGTGGCTCCACATGGTAGAGCAGTAGCTTTCAACACCAAAGCTCAGGATCAGTGCCTAGGATCTGAGTTGAAGCCCTGGGATTGGCACCAAAAAGAAAAAAAGGGTCACAGCTGAGAGTGAGGGTGAATGGTTGAGACACGGAGACCCCCTAAGGGAATCTTGTTGTTGTTGACACAGAGGACAGAAGCTCAGGTCTGTAGCATGTGGGGCCAGTGCCCTCTGGGTGCCAGCCCACTCAGAGCTGTTCAAGCCAACAGCTGGGCATCATCTGTAAGGCCCATAGAAAGGGAGGAGTTTCCAGGCTGATACTCCAAGAAGTCCCCTGAGCTCACCTAGGAAGCAGCAGAGGGCTGCGAAGGGTTTCCCAGGGCTGGCAGCAGCCATTAGCACAAAGAATAAGGCATGAGCAGGGTCAGTTCATAGATATCAGGGTACGGCCACGGGGCTCATGGTGTGTGTGTGTGTGTCTGTCTGTACTAGGGATTGAACTCAGAGCCTTGCACTCTTTCACTTCCACTTCCATCCTTTCACTGGTTAATTGGAGATAAGGATCTCACAGACATCTCTCTGCTGGAGTCTGAATCCTCAGGAGGATGGGATGGGGATAGATTGAAGGTGGGGATGGACCTGGGGCTGAACAGCCCTGAGCCCCTCTCCTGGCACATCTCATTCAATCCTTGCAACAGCCCTGTCAAGGTGGTAGCCCCGCTGTACAGGTCAGGAAATGGAGGCTCAGGCGGGTGAAGTGAGCCATCCCAGGCCACACAGCAGCTAGAGCTGGGTGACTTCCACCCCCAAATAGTGCTTCCTGCATCACCTCTGTCTCTGCGACGATGGATCCTTACATGTAACAGTCATCAACTCTTCCCAAGGCTTGGCTTTCTGAGATTAGCCCCTCCCTTTTCATGTTGTTCCCAGAATCCTCCAGGACCAGGGAAGGATCATGCCAGACCCATAGATGAAGGGGATGGAGACTCAGAGACTCAGCTCCTAAGTGATAGATGTGTACTGTGACTGACGCCTCCTCAGTCCCGAGGCCTTACTATACACATCCTTGGGCTGGAATCTGGGGACTGAAGGGTGACTCTAAAGGCAGTCAGTCCCGGTTGCTGGAAGAGGTGGCTCTTTTTTCCTGCTGTTCTTTGGTACTGGGCTGAGTCACCAGGTGCTTGATGCAGATTTCCCTCATGGGATCTTAATTCCAGGGAGCCCCTACACCCCCAGACCTGTGACATAGTCTCTCCCCTTTTCCTGGATTCCAATGATGCATCATCGCTTTCCTGAAGCCCTCTTGGGAGCCTTAAGGTGACAAAGTCACTTGAATGAATGCTCATGACTCGCTGGTTCCTTACAGAAAGCAAACCCTGTCTCCAACGACCCCCTAGGGAGTCGTACAGAGCTCGGAGGATGGAAACGACCCTGGACACTGGGCTGTCTGTGGGGGGCCAGGAGGACGCAGGATGCGGGGTGTGTGGCGGCTTGGCTGGGGTGGGCTGTAGTACCTGGACAGGGCCCTGCTGCTCTCGCTCATCTGCCCCAGGACCCCAGGCAAAGCCCTCTTTGCCCCTTTTTCTGTCTGGCCCATCTGATTTGGGGGTGCCTCCTCGAAGAGGTTTGTGAGGTGGGCCCAGCTTTGCACTTCCTAGATTACCCTCTGAAGGGGGAACATGGCGAAGGATGGATGATAGGGGGTGAGGAAGAGGGGTTGGGGCTTTTCTGGGGACCTGCAACAACCCCTGACTTTCTAGCTAACCAGATATGGGGAGCTAGAGCCCCGCAGCGGGACCCAGGCCAGTGGCGTGGGCTGGCCCTCCCCTGAGCATGGGCATTTGACCGCGCTAAGGGTCAAGGCCCCTGTGTCTCTTTACTCTTCCTAGTACATGATCTACTAGCCAGATGTGGCAGCTGAATGCAGCCCCAGGGAAATCCTCCACCTCCCAGGCTGGCCTGAATGCTCCCTGCAGGCTCTGGACTACAGCCTAGAGGCTCTGGGTTTTGGGTATGAGGGGCAGGGCAGTGGGCAGAGATGGCCCTGAACATGCAGGGGGTTTGGCTTCCCCAGATCCTGCTCTCTGTGTGGCCCAAGACAGCTCCCCTCCGCCCTTCAGCTCTAGTCTCACTTAGGACAAGAGGTAGGACTCCAAGATCCCCTGATTCTTCCAGGGACCCTCAAATTGTCCACTTGAGCTCTCCGGTGTTTACCCCTGGGCCTTGTCAGCTCCAGACACTAGGAGGTAAAGGGTAAAGTCTGGGGATGTCAGGGAAGGGGTGAGGCTAAGCAGCTAGGAGCTGTGGGCTTTTGGGGGCTTTGTCTGGGTTTGTAGCTCAGTTCAGTTGAGGTACCTTCTCTTGGGGGAGGGCTGTGTGAATGGCTCATTGTCTCCATTCCCTGACTGTTATTCCTCACAATGCTAACTCTTCCCTCCTCACCCCTGTCCTTACAGTCACGAGGAAAGCCAGAAGTTTGTGGAATGCACCGTGCTCTTCCTCTTACCACAGGCTTTTTGCACAGGCTCCTCCTCACCCGGCTCTGTGGGTGAAGGCCTTATACTTTTTTCAGCTCCAAATCACCTCCTCCATGCCATGGCCTGATCGTGACTTGCTTCTTGCACAGTCTCTGCTTCCTGGCTCAAGAAAACATCTCAGCCCAGATAAGTTCTGGGTTCAAGTCTCCATGTTACCTCAGATGTCCAGGCCTGAGGACTTAGGTTCTGGCTTAGTCTCCACGTATAGTCTTGCTCTTGGTAGTATTTCCGCATGGAGGACTTCCAAACAAGACTGCATACTTTCAGACAACACTTAGGGTGTTCAGAGAAAGTGAAATGGTGGTCTAACTCAAACAAGCTCTTGCCTGTCCCTAGATAGCTCCTTGCAGTCATCACATGGCCAGATACACTACTATTAGTTTTTTCTTTTTCGTGTGTGTGTGTGTGTGTGTGTGTGTGTGTGTGTGTGTGTGTGTACTGGGCTTAAACTAAGGGTCTGGTGCTGTCCCTGAGCTCTTTTGCTCAAAGCTGGTGCTCTACCACATGAACCATACGTCCACTTTTGGCTTTTTTGGTGGTTAATTGGAGATGAGAGTTTCATGGACTTTCTCTCCCCAGCTCTGATCTCAGCCTTCTGAGTAGCTGGGATTACAAGTGTAAGCCACTAGCGTCTGGCCACTATAAGGATTTTGATTCTTTAGAGGTAATAAAATTATCCTTCATAACAGTTTATAGTGAAAATGCAGATCCACCCAAGAAGGGGCCTGTAAAGGCAGGGCTGGCAAAGCAGGATTCATAAGCTCTTCACTCATTCCCTTCCTGCAACCTTGGCAGGCATCGCCAATCAATCATAATGTTCATTCCCGGTGGATTCAAGCCCATGTACTGAATTCTCAATGCATTCTTTCAGGCAGAAATACCAATAGACCAGACCCAGTTTAGAATCAATTTATGCTGGGTCTCTGGGCTCCAGTCTATCTCTATCTCCTATGTAGCAACTTCAGTCAGAGGACACACACCCTGGGGGGGGGGTGGGGACTTTCCAGTCTCTCTGGGCTCCATGGCCTTGATTGCAATGGTGGGGACAGTCAGGGGAACAGTGAGCCCTTCCCATCTGTCTGTTTGAACTTGCCTGCTTGTTTCTGAGCTGTGTGGCCTTGGACCCATCCCTTGCCCTCTCTGAGCCTCAGCTTCATCTGTCATAGAGGTGATGGTAGCTGCCTACCCGAATGGGAGGATTGGATAGGACCATGGGTCTCAAACCTAGCACACAGCAGGTGCACAGCAATTGGGCAGGGTTCTGACCCCCATGTACATTTGGTGGCTGTGGCCCTAACTGACCAACTCATGTCTGGCCTCATTTCCTCACTCTGCCCCAGAGGGAAACCTCACTCACTGCTGGGCCCCTGGCCCCCGCTTCCTCCTGCTGGTCTGTATACCTGCCAGGATCGGATAGTGTGGAGGAGCCTAGTGAGTCTAGAGACTAGGGCCTCTGCCCTAGAGAGATGTGGGGATATGGGGGCTTAGATCGTGGAGGGGCTGTCCAGTGCCTCCTAGAATCCCCGGATCTGCTCTTCCTCTAGGAAGCCACCTGTGATTTCTCCACCCAACACCAGCTTGGACCTGGATCAGGAGGGATTTTTATGTTTCTCTGTCAGACACAAGCTCTTAGGTTCAGGGCATGTCTCTCAGACGCATCTCTCTTTAAGATCACAGAGCTCTAGACTGGTCCTTGAGCTGCCTTCTGTGGCTGAACTAGCTGATTTTCTTCTCTCTGAGCTGGACCATGGATTGTGGCCTAGGCTATGGGGTTTGGAGGGCGGTCCCCACACATATCCTGCTTTTACTTTGTTTTGGCTGTGTGACCTAGCCCCATCTCTCCAATAGGAGCCTTCTGGTAGCTTCAGCTCAACAGAGGGGTACAGAGAAATGGTTGCGATAAGAGCAATGGGTCCACGAAGACAGGGGCTTGAGACCTTTTTTGGGACGATGGCCACAGTGTCCACTGTGTGTCTCCAAGGAGGCCTCAGAGCTGTGACTCATCCAGTGAATGAATTGTGGCCCTTCTGGCTTCCTGCCCCCATGTCCGGCCCTTGTTTCTCTGCACAATGGTCGGCTGAAGCTACAGAGTGGGCCGTTTAACCCCTTCCGGGCGAAAGTCACCCGTCCTGGTGCTCAGCGTAGAAAGCTGGCCTCCCTGTGGCTCCAAAGCTTCTAGGGGCCCTTCCCTCTGGAGTGGGGTCTGCAGATGGCGAGGCGCAGCCCAGTCAAGACAGAGGCCACCTGAGGCTGCACCAAGGCTTTTGGGCCTGTGCCTTGGCCTCTTCCAGCCTCGTCAGCCCTCTGAGCTGCCCAGGTGACCTTCCTGTCTGGATCAGCCTTCACCTGCCAGCATCCTGCCCGGACACCACGTGTGTGCACTGAGCAAGGAGCCGGGTGTCCAGCATGGAACAGGAGTCAGGTCAGGCTTGCTGTAGGAGTGGCCAGGTGAGTGTCCACCTCTCACCTGCTGGGCAGCCAGCCCCTCTCTGATGGGAAGGTGGGTGAGATGGGTGGCCCGTGACCCTGCCTCAGCAGAGAAAACCCTAGTGACATCCATAGCCATCATCCGCTCCACCATATTTCCTCGGTGATCTCCCGCTACAGCCATTCCCAGGGAGGAGACGTCTGAGACCCCGAGAAACTGTAGGTGCCAGAAACAGCCTGAGCTCGGGAGGACAGGTTCTGGGTTCAAATCCCCACCCCAGTTCTTCTCCAAATCTCAGCTGTCTTCACTGAGACAGGAAGAGTCTACCTCTGAGGAGTGCAGATAGCCAAATAAGGAGGCTCTTTGTTCCAGAACCTTCTACACGCCTCACCCCTTGCTCTCATAACAAATGACAAACAGTCACCATCCCCAGTGCTCAGATAAGGATGCCAAGGCTTGGGGACTTGGAGACAAGGGGACAGGGTGGTGGTTTGTGCCCAGGGCCGCCATCTGCCAGCCAGGCTCCTTCATCATGGCCTTGGAGGGCAGGAAAGGGAGGGGATTTCATAGACTGCGCCCCGACTGCCCAGAACCAGCCTCAAGTTGCCGATCCTGAGATGGCGGGCACCAACAGAAGATTGAGGCTCCCCCACCCTAAATCCCAACCCTATGACTTGAGAGGGGTTGTGGGAAGGGGGGGGAAGGGGTGCTGTCAGGCCTTTGTAAATCCTGTCCCATCGGGGCACCCAGAAGCCAAGACCTGGAGTCTATCCTCCATCCTGGCATGTTGGCCAACAGGGAGCAGAATCCAGAATTTTCCCTTTCTGAACTTGGCACCGATAGATACCAGTAGGCCTGGCCCACCCATCCCACTTAGGAGAGAGCCAAGCCCTGCTCGCCCCTCAGCCCCGAGATGCCCATTTGTGCCCGTGGCACCCCCGCTGGGGACACCTTTCCCAGCTCTGTTCTGACTCCAGAGAAAACCCAGCCTGCCCAGAGGATCTTCTGTCTCTTGAGAGCCACCCCCATCCCCTCCAGGGCCAGATGGGGGAGTCAAGACCCTCTAGTCCTAGACCCATGACCTTGACAAGCGTAGAGAGGAAGGGGAGAGGCCCTACTCACCGGTGGAGGCGTCTCTCTACTCTGTCCAGCAATCCGTCCGAGTGTGGTAAGCGAGCGAGCATGGAGCTACTCTAGTGGGGGGACACACCCAGCCAGGGAAGGGGCCTGGCCACCTCCCCTTCAGGTTTTCCAGTTGGCCCTGGCCTACTTCCCCGGGATGGTTTCCTGTTATTGTTCCTTTGTGAGGGCCCGGCTGTCGGCAGATAGGCCGCCCCACGGTGGGCGGCCCAAAGGCCCAGCGAGGCTGTCCCTGCAGAGGCCTACCCTCGGACTTCCCAGGAACAGACCCCAATTCCAGGCCTCAGCTCTACGGCTTTGAGCTCAGGTCCCACTCTGAGCATGTGTCTATATATTTAACCCTCCTTAGAACCCCCAAGGCAGATGCAATCACCCCTATTTTACAGCTTAGGGATCTGGAGCTCAAGGGGTCTAAGATACTTGTTCACCAGCTGGGGTGTAGCAAGGTCAGAAATCCAGCCTGGAGCTCTAGCTTGAGCATTGTCCAAGGTGACCCCATGGTGGGCTGGCCTGGGGGGCATTAGACCTCTCATGGGTGAGGTGGTGGGGGTTGTGAACAGACAGAAGCAATCAGTGCCCGAGTGGCCCAGGTCAGCTTCAGTGTGGATGTGTGTTCCAATCTCGAGCTTCTGGCCTGGCTCTGTAGGGCTACTTGGGTTTCAGAACGTTGGATGATGTCAAGTGATCTGCTTGTCATATGACCTGGGCCTGTCAGGTCTGTGTTCCCCAGCTATAACTTCATGGCCTTGAGATAAACAAGAGCCAAGAAGGGGAATGGCACACTGAAGTGTGCCAGAGCCACTGGGAACCTAGAGACCTAAGTGGGAAGAGGCCACAGTTCTGCTCCTCTCCAGAACCAGCCACAAGATCTTTGCAAAACTACAGATGCCAGGGCCCCGCCCTGGACCAGCCTCTGGGCAGGCCTGGGAATCTGGCCTTGGATGAGTTGCCTTGGTTTCCTGTGGGCAAATGCTTGGGAAGTCCTGCACTTGTTCTGTTGTTCAGCTGGGCACACAGAGGTCCAGGCCTTGCTCAGGAGTATGGGGGAGAGGGGGGAAGGGTGGAGCTGGCAGGCTTGAGACTCCCCCTGAGTGAGAGGTGGGGTTGGTTAGTGGAGCGGTGGAGGTTGGGAAATCAGGAGTTTACAGCTGGTGTCCGAGGTCAGGGGCGTGGATCAGCCTCAGGGAGGAGGGGGAGGAGTCCTAGCAGAGGGTACAGTAATAAACTGGCCCGGGAAGCCAGGCAGGGGACAGTGGGTGGGTCAGCTGGGTAAGTCTGGGTACACAGATAGTTCAGATTGAACCCCTGGATTTGGAAAATGAGATCATAGCATGTTAAGGCAACCAGAGGGGCTGATGGTGGGGGTAGGGGACAAGGAATGGCCCCAGAGTCCTGGAAGCAAGGCCATCCATGGGCAGGCTCTGGGTGAGATCTGAACCTTCCATCACAGTCTACGGAATGAACCAGCAGCGCAGCACTTTCCCATCCCCAAAGGATCCACCATGCCTTCTGCCTGCGGCCTGGGCAGCCCACGGAGGAGCCCCACTGGGCCAGCTGCCTCTCAGACTTGGCACTGGTGGCAGACAGGGACAGATCCTGTCCTGGCACCCTCTGCCAACTCCCTTTGTCCTCCTGGACCCTGTGGAAGTTGATTTCATCCTGCCAGTGGCTCTTCCTGTCATGTGTAAACAAGGAATGGTCAGGCAGGCACATGCCTTGGGCCCGGGGGGGGGGGTGGCTAGGGTTGGAGGCCCCAGGGGTAGGGTCGCTCAGACCCTAGAAGGGTGGCAAATGTCCCCCACAATACCCCTGAGGAGATCATGCTTCATTTCTGGCACTGTCCAGTCCCTGCTTCCATCCCTCTGGAAGCTAAGCACTTCACAGGGGGGCATGGGACAGGAAGAGCCAGAGAGAGAAGGAGGGAGCTCGGGGCAGGCAGGAAACAAGGGGATGGTCTGCTAGGCTAGATTAGCCCTGGGCTGGGGGAGAACACAACAATGGGGATGTGGGGGCAGGGGAATGCTGGAACCAGGTAGGGGGGTGAGGCAGGAGAAAGCCCATAGGGAGAAAAGGGGGATTGTAGGCTAGGGGTTTGGCAGACCCAGGCCAGAATCCCACCTGTGCCTGTGTGTCCTGGGGCTGCTGATGTGCCACTCTGAGCCTCTTCTCTGCTCTGTGAAATGGTCTTTGAAGAGCTGTTGGGGAGGATGGGGGACAACAGAAATAAGTGACCGACCCAAGGCCCACGGTGTGTGATCTTGTAGCTACCCAGGTTGGAATCATTTGGGCGAGTGTAGGGACTGACGCTGTAGATTCCAGTTCTCCACCCCTGCCCTGGTCAGTGGAGACAGATTGGTTGGTGGGACCTCAGGATCTACATAGTTGCAGTCCATTAGGTGATAGGTTTCTGGGTTCCTGTTGGAGAACCATGGCCTCTCTGGGCACTTGGGGATACCAAGAGCTTTTACTGGGCCTCCTTATTTAGTTCCTCAGGACCATCCCAAGCAGCCATGGTTAGTTCCACGACACAGGTGGGGAAACTGAGGCAGGGATCCACATTTCCTGAGATCTCAGAGATAGAGTGAAATGTCCCATCTGGGCCTCGGTCTCCAAGAGGGGGCAAATCCTTACCCTGGCCTTCTCCCCGCTCCCCAGCTCCCCCTCCTCAGCCTTCTCCTTTCGGATCTCACCTCTGCACCTTTTATCACTTCTGGATCGATCGCTCATCTGCCCCTGTCCTTTCTCCCCCCAGATATGCCTCACCTGTGTGATTGTCACAGCAGAGAATCTTCCTCCTTCCCTCCCTCCTTCCTTTTCTCCCTGCCTCCTTCTGTTTCCTTTCTTCCTTTCATTCCTCCTTCTTTGTCAAATAATTGCTCTCCATACTGAATGCAGCTCCATCTCAGGCCCTTACTGAGCTCCCTCCTAGGTGCTGTCCCTGCCCCAGGCTCTGAGCTTTTCACTCACATGGCTGTATTGGAGGAGGACATCGATTTGCCCTTTTGCAGCATGCGTAATTGGCCCAGTGTGGCCCTGCCCAGTTCAGACCAGGCTCTCGTGAGTCTGCTGAGACCTACAGAACACTCTGTTCCAGCCCCGGGCTGAACCGCTCCGCCTTCCTGACCAGGACGCTCCGCTTCCTCCTCTCTGCCAGCCCAGATCCTTAGCCCTTCTGTGCCTGGTTCAGATCACCACCCCACCTCTCCCTGCAGCCTCCATCTCCAGAGCCCTTCAGACGCTTCCATCATACTGTTCATCCCATCTGCACCTGAGGTCTTCAGTGTCCAAGCCTGCTACTCTCTCACAGCCTTGCAAGCTGGAGGTGCTCTTCTTCTTAGGAGGTTGCTGAGGCTCAGAGAGGCAGAGTTACTTGTCCAAGGGCATGCAGCTGGAGTAGTGGAGCTAATATTCCAACCCCCCATCTTCCTGTTCTGAGTTCAACATAGAACCATCGGCTTCCTGATGAGCTGTTTGTTATTGTTTGGACACGTTTTATGCTCATTTATTTTTCAGGAAGCAAGCTCACTTAATGATGCCCAGGCATTGCCCAGCTAGTTCTGAGCAGACCCTGGGATTACTCGGAGATGGACCCGCTTTGACCTGTCCCTCTGTGTCGGATGAGCGTAAGCCACACGAAGCGGGTCAGGCTGGTGGTGCTCTGAGGAGGGGGCCTGGGGTCTGTGAACTGCTTTGAAATAGTGGAGCTTACCAGGCACAGACAGGGAAGGGCTCACAGGCAGAGGGAGCAGCAGGGTGGGAGGCCTCGAGGCTGATCTGGGAAGATGGCATCCGGTGAGGAACACTGAGCTTCCGGGATGGGCTACAGCGCCAGGCTGGAGATGCAGCAGGGATAGGGGGCTTCGCAGACCTCCCTGAGAGGGATAGGGTTGCATGCCTCGTAGGAGTGCAAGAAGCCCTGGTTTTAGGAGAGTGGGCCTGTCTAGCCTATCACATCCTCACGGGGTCGCCTGGGGGACTGAGCTGCCTCGCGTGGGCCTTGGGGCTGGGGCAGAGGCAGGAGCTGAGGATACAGTCCTGGGAGCGAACCAGGAGGCGGAAGGGGAGCAGGGGTGCGAGGCCAGGAAAGGAGCAGTAAGTTAGGGGCTGAGTTCCCAGGACAGGAGAACAATGCCTGTCCTGTCTCCAGCCTCTGGGAGGGAGGAGGACAGAGCACTTTCCCAGATGTGGCTCACTTTCCCCTCCAATGTGGTCACCACCAACACAACACCACATCTCCAGGGTGGGGGAGTGGAGCTCTGAGGATGGAGGAGGCGACGGAGCCACGCAGCAAGGGTTCAGCCTGGCGCCCTGGGGGGACCCTGCTGGGAGCATCTGCCTCTTCCACTTACCTACCAGCCGGTGCTGGAATAGCCACAAAGCCTTGCTGCCTCAGTTTCCCCCTTCTTGTCAAAAGGAGATGGCTGCGTGCTTTCCTCACTGGTTGCTGGAAGGAGAAGATTCAAGGCAAGTGCATGCAACAGTCTCTGGTATCCGGTAGGCGCTCCATAGATGTGGAGCGTGAGGGTGATGCAGTAGCGGAAGCCGTGGCAGGGGCGTCTGCAAGTGTGTATGCACTGTCTGTGCTGTTTGTGTGAATGTCAGGGGAATGTTCCAGAACAGATGGAGTATGTGAGGGGCCCGTGTGGACTGGCCCTGTGCTGAGTGGTGTGTGAATGAGGCTTCTGGCTCCTCCATTGTCAAGGCCTTGCTTGGAGCAGGCAGCACAGGGCCAAGGATCTGCCTCTTGGTCCATCTGCAGGCGGGCCAGAGTCTGGCAGTCCCAGACCCACGGAAGCAGAACCTTCCTGTCTCCAGGCCGCACAATCCACCCGGCCTCCCCATAAGACAGGAAGGAGGGTTGGGCTGGATGTCTGGATGGGACAAACAGACATGGACCCAACACTAGCCTTGTAGGCCCAGCACCAGGCAAATCCCAGGATGCCAGCCTTCTGCTTCTCCAGGCCTTCTCCAGCCATCTCCAGACCCCTGAGCACACACATCCCCGTTGCCTCAGGCGAGCTTTCTGGGATGGACTGAACTA